GGGGCCTGTCACAAGGCACTCTGTGGGGGCAGGAAACACCAGCTCACGCTATAGAATTGCTAAGGAGCCCTGGTGGCCCGGTGGATTATGGATGTGGCCTGCTGGCCTCAAGTTCAGCAGTTTGAATCCACCAGCCACTCCGTGGGAGAAAGATGAGGTGTTCTGCTCCTGGGAAGATTTAAAGCCTCAGAAACACACAGAAGCAGTTCCATTCTGTCCTACAGGATTGCTGTGAGTCAGAAATTGAGTTGACGCAGTGAGTTTGAGTCTGACAGGACTGCTAACTGCAACGTTGGCAATTCAAGCCCACTAGTCATTCTGAGGGAGAAAGATGAGGCTTTATTCTCATGTAGAGTTTATAGCCTCAGAAACCCTATATCAGGTCACTATGAGTTGGAATCAACTAGATGCCAATGGACTATAGGACAACTAGAAGGTTCCGGTGGTTCAGTGGTAAAGTTCATGTCTTCCATGGGGGAGACTTGGGCTTGATTCCTAGCCAATGCACCTCAAGAGCGGTCACCAGCTGTCTGTCCATGCAGGTTTACAAGTTTCTATGACGCTGAACAGGTTTCAGTGGATTTCCAGACTAAGATAGACTAGGAAGAAGGACCTGATGATCAATTTCTGAAAATCAGCCAATGGGAAAACAAGCAAAACTACGAATCACAATGGTTTGATCTGCCACCAATCCTGGGGCTGGCATTGGACTAGGGAATGTTTCTTCTATTGTTCATGGGGGTCACCAGGAGTCAGAGGTGGCTAGAAGTCAGCATCGGACAAATACTACCACCTGCCTGTCAGCTTGTCGTACGATAGTGGTTTGCGTTTTTCTACGATGCTAGAAGCTATGCACTAGTATTTCTACAGCAAGCAGGATCACACATGGTAGGCAGGTTTCCGTGGAATTTCCAAACTAAGACAGACAAGGAAGAAAGGGCTGGCAATCTAGCTCCAAAAACTAGTCTTTGAAAACCTCACGGATCACAAACAGATATTACTTGATAGTGTGCTAGAAGATTAGCCCTGTGGATTGGGAAACTGAAAAACAACAAAACAAAAACAAGCTCACTG